TGAATAAATCACTTACACTAAAGTTACATGACTGGTTCAAGCCTCTCTTGTTGTGGCATGTTCCAATTACACTGCAGCAGCGTTCGACACCGCAATCCGTGTCCGCGTCGCATTTCTAAGAGGAGTTGAAAAAGAAGAACAAAAAAAAAGGAAAAACGGAAGTATGAAGATGTTTTTGTCATCAAAGAGTAAATTTATGAAAAATTTAAATTTTTGGTTCGTTTGAATTCAGACACTTTGCACTTTTGTTTATTTTCGCATCAGACCGTAATGGCGCTTAATGCAATGGGTTTATCGGTTTCTCACCGCTCCCTGACAATCAAAGGAAAAAACCGTTAACGAGTGTATCAAGCTAGTTTTGGAGTGGTGATTTATTTTAACATGAAAACCCTAAATATCCTTTTGATCAGCAAAAGAAGAGACAATGATGTTTTTTAAAATAAAAACTGCTTACCCCGAATATAAACCGTTTTTCTCTTTCTTGCTCGTCAGGGATTTTATAGCTGGCAGCGAAAGCCACAAACAAAAGAAGTCCAGCCAAGACCTTCATTTTTCCTTTTTTTTCAAATGGTTCTTGATGCCAAAGATAACAAATGTACAACCGATTTATGCCTTTTTTTGTCGTCTCAACTCTCTTATAAATAGAAAGAAATGCTTGTTTACAAAGCTTGGTTTCGTTATCAGATTGCGTCACTCGGGAGACAAAAGAATTCATTTCTGTTGCAACAGCTACATGTTGGTACACAATGTACAATTTAGCGCCATCTACAACAAACCTAAGGTATATTTCTTTTAAACGAGTTTTATACAGAGCTGAACGTAAAAGTCATGAAAAAAGGAACAATATAAGATATTTCTGACATTTTGTACGTTAAAAAATGTCAGTGCTGTTTTGCATTCAAGATAGATTCAATTCGAACACAAAGCATTGTCCATCTTCCCAAAATGTACCAGTATTTCAGCTGCGCTTCTGTGTCAATGTTGTCTCAAAAGACTAACTTGCCTATTGAAAAGAACGTTTATCTTGATCTGAATAGCTATGAAACGAGTACTAATTATAGGCATTCAATTTCTAGGAAAATCAAATATTGTTTGTTTTGATGATCAGTATTCTTGCTTTACCACACTGCTTTTGTTTCACTTTCCGAATTGGGACACTTCCTTCGAGGTTTGCTCAATAGAATCTTTTTGTTCGCAAGAAATGAATAACGCTAAGCTGAAAGATTTCACTGTTATCAGCTGTGCTTTATTTGAACAACTACAAGTTTCTTTTCATGGATTAAAAAATTGAGTTTTGCTTTAAGTGACAATGCCTGCCTTCGCCTTTTTTTTTTTTTTTTTAAGTCAAAAATTTTGTAATTTCTATTCATTCAGATGCAACCTGGCATTTCCTTTTCTTTTTAACTCAACTGTTCACCAACATTGGTGTACTTAGAAGTATTTGCCGCTGGTTAAGAATAAGTTAAAAAAACCCCGCAGGATAGAGTTCAGTGTTAAATCTTTTTCTGCACCTCTAAGATAAATTTGACAACAAAGGTTTCTTTAGAAAAAATAAATCGAAGAACAGACAAGGTAGATAACAACCCTCTACAACCCTTCCCCCCCGCCACTGCTCTGCCCCGAATCATGGTGTCAGGGAAACAGTTAAAAACAGGTCATATAATGGTATATAGCCTCTGTTTATATTGGAATACGATGAGTAACTCTCTTCCTTTCTGACAAATTTTATTTCGCATCGGTGATAACATTTTTCAGTCCGCATATGAACAGCATCTGAATTCACGGCGTGCTTTATCAACGGATGTTTCTACTGAAGAAGTGGAAGACAGCGATAGTATTTTAAACTACCAAGGCACTTTGCCACCTGACAGAACAGCCCGGATTTGCACCCACATCCGTGGTATTGCTGTGATAAAACAAAGGGATTATATTTAATTACGAAATCGAGATGAAATCACAGCTCAATCCCACATAATATGCGCATCTTACCAAACTTATGATGCACGTACGCGACCATTTACAATGTCGCTGTTTATCACTTTCAAACTAGCAATCAATATGGTCATTTTAGTCTGGGAATTTAAACATCGTGTTTAATTCATGGGTAACACAGAAAAGTGTCTCATGCCATCAAATCAATGAAGTGTGATTTGAAACGCCTGTCCTACACTGTACCATGTATTTCATTTGGGCATTGTTACAAAGTCATATTCAAAATCCGAATGAAGACGTGACAGTCCTCTCTTCTTGAAGCATTAAATCCACTTCTACCGAAAAATGGAAACAGTATAAATTTGTCAAAAACTTCAAAAATGCGAGTGTTTAGTAATAAATTGAGAAAGAGGACTTAAACACCCAGTAACTGTAGCTAATAAAAATGTTTTCTCTGATTGAAAAACGTAATATCCAAATCTTATTACCGAAAACTTATCACTTATACCGAAAAGTTACAGGACTCTTCCAACCCCCTTTTGGGGGCACAAATACCAAGATATTTAATACAGCAACGCTCATTGCCACAATCTGCATCAGTGTCACAGATCTGAGGAAGGGAGAAACAGTAATTTAATAATTGCATTTCAAGTTTCTCTGAAGAACTCAACATACACTTTATTTTGGCCTAAAAATGAGAATTTCTTTGTCTAATTAATTTATCCAAATCTAGAATAAACAGTATGGTTATTCAACTCTGTGCTCTATTGCCCAAACTGGCTATACTTTTATAATTTAAAACTGAGGCAACGCTCTAATGTCTTCACAGTTGTGGTGTACTGTAAGGCATTGATTGCTGCAAGGCTCAAACCAGATAAGGACTAGGAACAAGGAGTTGTGCTGCGTCTGAAAGAACATCGTAATTGTGTTACACGAATTAAAATACTTTCGCCCGAAGTTCTTGAAAACGTTTGGGAAAACTAATTAAAATCAGCT